CCTGAGGCTGTTTTAGCCCAGCCTCAGCTGTTGTGGCCATTGCGGGAGTGAATCAGCATACAAAAAAATATCTCTATACCTCTCCTGCCTCTCATAACTCTGCCTTTCAAGGAACTAAAATAAATCTTTAAAAATAAATAAACAAAGGGTTCCTGGGCAATAGCTCAGTGGCTATATCCTCACCTTGCATGTACCAGGAAAAGAACAGTGGTTTCAAATGCTCCTAATACCGCAAAACCAGAATACCATTACCACCCAAAACATACATTAAAAAGTGATTTGTTCTGATGAGGACAGATTAGGGAAACCATGCAATTAGAAACTCCAGCCATAGAAGAAGACAAGAATAAAATACCATTTATAACAGAAAGAAATTAAACAGAAGTCTATCATCTGAAAAAAAGCGAAAGGTCCCCACTGCTGTTCCCTCCCTCTGCAGCTGGAATCTTGTCTCTCACTATAAGTTAGGGGATCCTTCCAACTGACACTCTCCTTAAAGACTTGCTCATCCGAGTAGTTAACAGTTCTTCATAGACAAAGTAGGAAGCAGACAAGTAAGACCATGTCCGTTTCTACCTGCATGTAGAGACTTAGAGCAATGACTTCTTCCCAAATATAAAGTTGTGAACACATCTTATATTGTGAACCAAAAAAAAGTGAAGAGGAAAAAAAGACAAGGCAGAAAAAGCAGAATACCTAAGGAAAAAAAAAAGATGCATTCAGTAGTTTCAGAAAGATGTTATGAACAGCGGAACAGTGTGAAAAAGGATTGGAGAGTTTGGTAAAGCAATTAAGATGCTGCCGAGGGGGATGGCGCTGAGGCATAGCAGGCAAAGCCAGCGTTCCATCTGGGCAACAATTTGACTCCTGGCAGATCCAGCTCCCTGCTAATGACCTGGGGAAAACAGAAGCCTAAGTGTTTGGTCAGTCCCCTGCCACTCGTATGGGAGATTCAGAAGAAGCTCCTGACTCCTGGCCTCAGCCTGCCCCATCCTTAGCCATTGCAGGCTTTTGGGATGTGAGCATGCTGATGAAAGATTTCTCGCTATTCTGACTCTCAGTCTTTCTATGACCTTGCGTTTCAAATATATAAAACTTAACAAATACATTGCTTGGGATGCGTGCATCCAATATCAGAGTATCTGAGTTAGTTCCCAGCTCCACTTGTGATCCTGGCTTCCTGCTGACACACACCAATGATGACTGAAGTGCTTGGGTCCCCGCCACCTATGAGGGAGACGCAAACAGAGTTCTGGGATTCTGGCTTCTGTTTGGTTCAGCCCTCTCCTACTAGAGGTATTGGAGGAGAGAAGCAGCAGGTGAAAGATTAGTCTGTCTCTTTGTTTTTAACAAGAATAAAAAAATCAAGGAAAAAAATTTAATGGAAAAATCAGTGAACAAATGAAGGCATTGGAAATGAAAGGCATCTAACATGAAATTTTTAATTAAATTGACAAGATTTAGACCCAAAAGTTGCCCAAATAAGAAGCAGAGCAAATGATTCATCGCAGTTGTCTAATACAAAGAGTTCCACGAACATACAAGGTAGGAAGGGAGAAGGAACTCTGGTGGGCACCAGCATCCAGGGAATTCACAAAGAGCAAGGCATAGCTTCAAGGCATTTAATAACACTGCAGGGAATGACAGAGGAAAACAGGAGAAATGGGAAAGGAAAGCTCATTGAGAAAGGAACCAGAGCCAGAACAGCAGCGAATCTGCTCATCAGCAACAAGGGAAACAATTTACACTTCTGAGAGAATTCTGGACAAGTCATGTGGGAGTCATGTGAAAGAATTAAACATTTAAGAAAAAGGGGGGATCGAATTTATTTTCATTTATCTCTCATCAGAAAACTACACCAAAAGGAAGGTATAAACCAAGAACTATTAGCATGGTGTGGGATCCTGAACAGGAAAGTGGAAAAGGGAATTTCAACATGCTGGTGACAGAAAGTCCTAGGCTGACAGCTGTGCAGCAGAAGCCCAAATAACAACTTCTCTGAAGCATCTGATTTCTTAGACGGGAATTTTATAGTTCTGTAACAGCATATGGGCACATTTGTGCTTAGACAATTGTACCGCAGAGGGAAGAATGATTATATTTCCAAGAAAATATCCAAAGTATATATGTTGCATGTACATTCTACCTGGCTTGGGTGTGAACATAATTTCCCTAATCATAGAACACATATAAACATGAAAAAATGAGTACTAGGGCCTGGTGCGGTGGCGCAAGTGGTTAAGTCCTCGCCTTGCACGCCCGGGATCCCATATGGGCGCCGGTTCTAATCCCGGCAGCCCCACTTCCCTTCCAGCTCCCTGCCTGTGGCCTGGGAAAGCAGTCGAGGACGGCCCAAAGCTTTGGGAGCCTGCACCCGCGTGGGAGACCCAGAAGAGGCTCCTGGCTTCGGATCGGCATAGTATCGGCCCGTTGCGCTCACTTGGGGAGTGAATCATCGGACGGAAGATCTTCCTCTCTGTCTCTCCTCTCTGTATATCCGCCTTTCCAATGAAAAAATAATAAAAAAATAAATCTAAAAAAAAAAAAATAATAAAAAAATAAAAAAAAAAATAAAAAATGAGTACTAAATATTAACTGGACAAAATATAACTCCTTTAAGAGTATGGAAACAAATATAGTAGGAGGTGCAAGTACTAAGTCCAGACAATAAATGTTAGAAGCTAGTGGATAATGTCTAACATTTTCTTAATCATAGAGAAGAAGGTTAAGCAAACAGCCTGAACACATGGGCTTAAACAACAGTTAGATGCATTTAAAGGGTGGTAACTTAGGGTCAGCATGGTCAGATTACAATCCAATCTGGCATTTAGAACTATGCACATGATTTACTTCAGTGAAAGTCAAAACTAGAAGGTGGAAAAATAAAGCACACTTTATTAGTCCCGTGCATTCTTACTGACATCAGCCCTGGTTTAGACTCCCGTGGTACATTATCAAAGTCACCTTTACTCCTCAAGTTCTGAAGAAAAGTTTATGTCTCCTATAAACGGTAAACAAAAGAATCCTGTTCATAATTACCCTTCCTAACTGAACAAATAATTATGAGAGATTTTAAGTTGAAATTAAAACCATTAAAACAATCTCTTGCAAAACTTCTGGTGTCAAATTCCGCATATTTTTTTTTTCATGATACAGTTCCATAGGCTCCTGGATTTTCCCTCCCACCTTGACCATTCCCTCCACCTCCAAACTGATTTTCCCTTTATAATTATAATAGTATAGTCCTTCAACAGCAGTCACGAGTCCATCATTCAGTCTGCTACTTATGTGTATCATGACATTGTAGATATAGACAATGATATAAAGTTCAAGATCTTGTTATCAAGATATTTTTAATAACTTCACTGACAGTCCAATTTTTATCTGGGAGTAGAGATGCATAGTGCACTGTATCTTCGCTTCTTGGTATGCTATCATGCCTTATACAGTTCCTCTAGATGAATACATGTACATGGATGTTTGCCTATATATCTACTGATCTTGTATTTTGCCTGAAGGTTGCCTTATGTCAGGGTGAACATACAGACTACGAGAAAATCCATGCACACTTCACAACGGAACAGGGACAAATATCCAGTATTTACAAAAAGCTTCAGAAACTCAATGACAACAAAATGAACAAACATTTTGCAAAAGAACAAATTCAAATGGCTAATAGACATATGAAAAAATGCTCAGGTTCCATAGCAATAAGGGAAACACAAATAAAAGCCACACTGAGTTTCCACCTAACTCCAGTGAGATTGGCCTGCGTTCAGAAATCTGCTACCACCGGCTGGAGTGAATGTGGGGAGAATGGTACTTTACTTCACTGTTAGTGGAATGTAGGATAGTGCAGCCACTGTGGAAGTCAGTATGGAGAGTGCTCAGACAACTGAAAATTGATCTACTATATGACCCAGCTATCCCACTTCCAGGAATATATCCAAAAGAAATGAAATCTGCATGTGAGAAAGGGATCTGTAATCCTATATTTACAGCAGCACAATCTACAATAGCAAAGACACAGAAGCAACCCAGATAATAATTAAGAGAGGAAGGGATAAAGAAACTTTAGTATAGCTACTCTATAGAATACTACTCAGCCATTAAAAAGAATGGAATTCTACCATTTGCAACAAAATGGTCCAAACTGGAGAACATGATGCTCAGTGAATAAGTAAATCCCAAAGGACAAATATCCTGTTATGCAAACTCGTTGTCCAGTGGGTGATCTGAGTACCATTTCATCCAAGAACAATTTTAAAATCAGAATATTCTTGACAAATTACAAGAGAACTTTGAGTGTTTGAAGTCATGAGGCAGTACCACTCGTGAGACTATTCATTTCGAGTTTTGTCAAGAAGCCCAGAGTAGGTTTAAAACTCACCAGTTCACTAAACAAGATAGCTATGGCGTCAGCCTGAAGGAAAACTTACTATTTTTCATTGGCCCACTGAAATAAGCTCTCTTTTACAGCTGAGTGTACATCAGGTGTACTATTATCTAAATCACAAGATACCATACACACTGTTGGCACCTCTTACTACCCGTATTCCTTTTTCAAATCAAATATTTGTTATTTTAATTTTTTATTTTTCAGTTTCTTAAGCTCAGGGATTTCCCCTTGCACCTTCCCATCATCCTCCCCCTCAACTGGCTTCCCCTACATTATAACAATAGTATATAGTCCTTCAACAACAGTCACAAGTCCATCATTCTTCTATTTAAATGTATCATCACATTGTATTTATAAACAACAGTGGAAAGTCCAGCATCCTATCACCAAGATATTTTTAGCAGTTTCATTGACAGACCATCTTTTATTCAGTAGATATGCTTAATGCAATATATTCTCATGTCATAATAAGGCTTTAATTTAACATTTTGATCAATGTGCCCTTGAATACACCTGTAATATTATAAGTAGTGATCAAATCTATTTGATTGGGACCTACATTGGCAGACTGATGGCCCATGACAGAAGTCCAGTTGCTTACCAGAAATGTGTATCCGCAATGGCCACACACAACCCTTGTACCTTCTGGTTGGATGGGCAATGCTGGCTGCGCCGGCTGTTCTTCAGAAATAAGCATTACTGGGCCAAGGGTGATTATGCGTCTGCTGTGGAAACAGAAAGGAAACAACTTCACTATCCTGCAAATGGACTGAAGACAAAGCTCACAGCATATAGTCAAAACGGGGAATATATAATTGACAGTATGTTCTATTTTTGTTTATTTCATAAGCTGAGTGAGTTGAGCGGCAATCTTTGGGGTTATAGAAAAATCACAGAAAGAGTAATCAGCTTTCCAGGAACAAGAAAATCAGCCTTTTATACTTGCGTGGAAACAATACAATATACATACAATATACAATAATCACTTAGGAATCATTTATGTGACTTACCCAGTTTTTTTTTTAAGATTTAATTTTTTATTTTTATTGGAAAGACGAATATACAGAAAAGAGAGACAGAGAGGAAGATCTTCTGTCCAATGATTTACTCCCCAAGTGAGCGCAATGGCCGATGCTATGCCGATCCGGAGCCAGGAGCCTCTTCTGGGTCTCCCATAGGGGTACAGGGTCCCAAAGCTTTGGGCCGTCCTCTACTGCTCTCCCGGGCCACAGGCAGGGAGCTGGATGGTAAGTGGAGCTGCCGGGATTAGAACCAGCGCCCGTATGGGATCCCAGGCGTGCAAGGTAACCACTTGAGCAACCGCGCCGGCCCGACTTACCCAGGTTTTTAAATTTAAAATCAGGAAACAGTTTTTATCATTCCCTTTCTAGGAAAAGAAGTCCTATGAGTTTGGTAGAAACTGAGTAAGTTGAAAAAATTCTACAGTTAAAATCTGTGTTCCATGAAGGTCCCCAAGTGGTGAGTCGCAACCAGGTTTCTCTTATTTCAGAATCCCTTAATATCTGTTTATAATAGATGGAAAAGAATAATGCAAGACCTTGACACAATGTCTTAACTGACCAAATCTCCCCTTTCTGAGTGCCAGAATCTCTTATGGAAACGGGTTCATGTCCCAGCTGCTCCACTTCCCATCCAGCTCCCTACTTATGGCCCAGAAAAGCAGTAGAGGACGGCCCAAAGCCCAGAGCCCTGGGGCCCTGCACCCACATGGGAGACCTACAGGAAGCTTCTGGCTCCTGGCTCAGCTCTGGCCATTGCGGCCATTCGGGGAATGAGCCAGTGGATGGAAGATCTTTCTGCCTTTCCTTTTCTCTGTAAATCTGCCTTTCCAATAAAAACGAAAATGCAGAATGGGAGCCTTTTTCTCCATTTTCCATCTATGATCAAATAATATATATAAGTAATGATCAAAAAGCCAACAAAACCATAGGAAAAAATACAGGTAAGATCTTTATATATCTGCATGAGGGCAAATCTATAACAGTGTTTAATAGGGGCATATAACTCCAGAATTTATTGTATATATTATGCTCAGCAGAAGCCGGAGTAGCATATAATGAGATGCTCATGACAACTGAAACATTTCCAAATTAAGACTCACTACAGCAGAGTTAATCACATAATAAGTATTTAAATAACATAAGGAAATCATTCATTGTTAATTCCAGTATATTACATCTTGCAAATATCTATGGCTATTAACTTCAAAGCATCATCCCTTTAACAAAAAATTATTTAGGTTCTGTAGTCGCTTTGAAGATGAAGCTCCAATCAGAACAAAGCCTGGCACTTGAGTCCTCAATAAATTACTGTTGAATGACCAAATGAAAGAATAATAAAAAAATCCGTATCCCTTACCAGTTGGGTCTCGGACACCCTATCCGCCGGGATGTGTCCTTACAAATGAGGAGACAATTACAAGGGCATCGCACATATTTCTTCCCTGTTGGCGGGCTTTTGATTGGCTGGATAAGTAGAGAAAACGTACACAGCAAAATTAACCAAAGCACCGATCCTTAAAACTTTAAGTTTTAAGAAGGAAATTTCTTGGAAAATAAAGGTTTCTCATTGCCATTGAAGTGCAGTAGAATGAAAGCTATGGATAAGTTGTTTAAATAACACAAATGTTGGCAAGAACTTTATGAAATTCAAGAGCTATAGAGACTTAACTATTACAAGCACATTTCAAAATCAGCTTACACTGGTATGGGAGGAATATTTAACACAGAGATTTGCTTTCCCTTTAAATTCACAAGAATTTGAAGGTACATGTCTGGCAGGTTAAGTCTCAGAGAATTCTTATACTTGTCTAGAATGTAAGTTTGTATGTATTAACGGTAAGGATTCTTATAACAGAAAAACATGATGAATTTGAATTTCTCTTCAACTTTATTCATTAGAATATAAGAAGTGATACATTGTATAGAATACTTCAGCTGAAGGACTTGCAATAGCTCTTAATATTAGCATTTCTTAAAAACCACTTTACGGGAAACTTAAAAGCAAGAATAAATAATATCAAGGGAAACATGACTTGCAGTAATAGGACTTAAGCTGATTTAATTAGAATCTCTTTCTACGTAGAAATAGACATTCTACAAGTATCTCACTGATACCTCTCAAAAATAAACGACTAAGAGAATAACTATCAGATAAAGAACACATGATTCTGAACCAGAACTGTTTTTTTCCTAAAAGGGCATTAATGAGGCAATTGGGTAAACATGATTCAAGTAAAGAAATTATAGAATAGTAATGTGGAAACAATGGTATTGCCCGCTTTCCTGTAAACCTTGACCCTGTGTACCCTGATCAGCTAGGTAAAATCATTTTAAAAATTAATTAATTAACAAAAATAATGAAAAAAAATTTTTAAGAAATTACAGAACAGTATCATATCAATGTCCATTTCCTGAGTTTGATAATCACACTGAGGTTGTATGCATGAATGCTCTTGTTTCAGGAAATTTGCGCTGCATGTATTGAAGGTGGAAGAGCACCATGTCTGCGATTGTATAACGCTGTGAAACAAATATTTAGAGACAGATAAGGCTAGATGTAGCAAAACTATGACATTTGGGTTATTGCTCATACAATCAAAATTCACCATTAAGTAAGAGTATGCCTGAAAAGTGACAAGATTGATTTTACTATTTGTTCTTACTTCAGTTCCCTCATTTGTAACATAAAACCAACCAGTGAGATTACAAACCGGAGACTCAGTGCCAGCCAAGGTCATGTCAAGCCTGGTCTGCAGTGACATGTGGTGGGGGATGGGAGACAGTGCCCCTGCAGATGGAGGGACGTGTGGTGGGGGATGGGAGACAGTGCCCCTGCAGATGGCAGGGACAAGAGCTGGGGGATGGGAGAGAGTGCCCCTGCTGATACGATCTAAAAGTCATACTTTAGAAAGCAACGTTTTGCCATGTAAATGCCCACTAAAATCAGTCAAATGCCAGGCACTTGGCCCCTGTAATCCCAACAAGCAACTTCAATGGTGTAAATCTTACAGCATTTACATAAGGAAACCGTAATTAGGAGATATCTCCGAAGATCTATGAGTACAGCTTGCTAAGTGAGCGAGCAACGACTCACAACTCTGGTCTGTCAACCTCGGACCGCAGTTTGCAGCTGGTCACATCGTCACAAACACTGCTCTTTCTCCATGACCTCTGGAGTTTGCATCAGTTGTCCTAGAAATCCTTCCCTGTTTCACCGCAAAGTCTATGTTCTACAAGCCTTGCTAACATTTTTCAGTAGTTTCTCTCTTTCTCATACATACAGGCAGCACTAATTTCCCTTAGCAACTGAACCTACTGAGACAGAAAGGAATTTTATGACCGCTGTTGGTCTGTTTTTTATCACAGGTGTATCAGGTTCCTATCACAGCAGCTGTACAGGAGGCCGGCAGACGATGTGAGCAGAATCAATCACACCAAAACTGAATACAGGAGACCATACGTGGACACAAGAAAAGACGGAGATAGTGGACACAAGACAACCTTGCAATGCTCGAAAGAACTTCTGGCTCACTAATCCTTCTTCATGGATATATATATTTTTTTCTTCATGCATATATTTAAGATCAGATTGCATTTAGAAGTTTAGCAAGCAAAATGCTAAGGTACTATTCAAAGTCTTTTTTTTTTAACTTTTTTTCTTCTGTAACATCACTCATGTCACACAATGTCACACAAGACCATCTTACTATATTAGATATTATTCACTTTCCCTAGAGTCTTCGTAATTGATTACGTTTCTTAATTACACAAAGGCAGGGATTATTTAAAAATTTTCATTTAATTTTTCTTGTGTCCAGAGAACTTTTTCAGAGCCAAACACAGCTGATGCTCCATGGACAGACACATCACTTCTAAGTAGCCAGATGGAACATTCGCTAAATCTACAGTCTGAGATCCCGGCATAAATGACCTAGGCTTCTGAGTTTACTTCCTAGAGTAAGACACAAAACCCTAAGCCTTTTTTTTCTATTTCATTAAAGAATAAAAGTTGGTACGGCTGGAGCAGTAACAGAAAAAAATTAGCACCTGTATCAAATCCAAGAAAACCTCTAAGATACTTTTTTTATTACTACTTATGTCTAGAAATTCCCACTGGCTTTTGAACTCGGCAAAGAGCACTAAAGAAGTTAATGCCAGCTCTACTAATCAGTGGTCAATTTACAAAGAAAATAGTAAGTTTTGTAGCAATCACCTATTTATCCACAAATAATGTTGCTCATAGGAAAGAATATTTACAATGAAACATATTGATTCATGCCTAAGGTGTTTTTTCACTTTTCTACAAAACATATAAAGCCCGGTTTCCATACTGAATAGCTTTTACAGACAATAATAATCAGCTGTCTTTAGATTTTTTTTGAATTAAACATACAAACAGCAGAATTTATATTAATATTTAATTACAGATGCTGAGGCATAAAATATTTTTAAATAAAGCCTAATGATGAAAGTGGAAATATGTTTTACCTAAATCAAGACATACTTTATCAGTTTACAACTTGAAACTGTAAAAATATTGCTCAAACTTCATCTGCTCTTCCCAATCTTCATTTTTTTTTTAAAAAAAGTTCCAATTTAACATTTCACTAAACTTACTATCTAATAAATAGTATAAAATGTCAATCTTTTTGCAAACACTTTGGCACAAGTGTGAATAACAAACACATAATCACAGAGCTCCCTGCCCCCAAAAATACTGACATCCTTTAGATGTAAAGCGAGTTTCCACTTAAGAAGAAAGCCAAGTTGAACATATTTTCATTTTAGGGAAAACTAGAATGTATACAGTCATGATATGGATAGTCACTGGGGATAATTACAAAGCCACTGCCAGGATCAGTCTCAATTCAGAGAGCGAAGAATCAAGTGGCATTATGTTTAAATTCACTATGAAAATTTCTTGATGAGATCACCTCTAAGTCCATGGAGACACACCTGTGTGATAAAAACAGATGGACAAAAGGAAAGTCAAAGCAAACTGCTGTATTTGTATCCAGTCCATATCTACTTTCAAGAAATAATTTTGAGGTATTTCATTGAGAATAAGATGTCAGAGAACAAGGTATGCTTTCAGTGGAAATGCTCACTTACCGTAGCTTCATTGCAAACGGTGCACTTAACCACATGCTGATGAAGTTTGCCATCCAGATTGATTAGCGACTGGCACACACGGCAGTTTATTACAGGAATACCACTGGCATCTGGGCTTGCGATGGCTGTATATGGAGGTGGGAGTTCCGCTGAAAAGATATTGGCCACCGAATCAGATTTTATTTGAAAAACGGAGTAAATAAGAGAGGGAGAAAGAGATGAAAAGATTTTCCATCTGATGGCCTGCTCCCCAAATGTCCAAAACAGCCAAGGCTAGATGAGACAAAACTGGAAGCCAGGAACTCCATTGGGTTTCCCACATGGGTGGCAGGTGCCCAAGTATTTGAGCCAACATTTGCTGCCTTCCAAGGTACTTTAGTAGAAAGCTGGAATCAAAACATGAAATAACATGAAGTAGCCAAAACTTGAATCGGCCCTCAAATATGAAAATGCTGGATCCCAGTGGCAGCTTAACTTGCTGAGTCACAGCATCTACTGAAAATATTTTTTCACTCTCTGATAGCATCTAAATCCTGCTTGCTTGGGTGTTTCCCAATGACCCAGTTTCCTTCTTATTAACTTGAACTCAACATATCAATCCTATTCCCATGCAGTATTTCATTAAGCCTGTAATTGCAGAGTAGTCTCAGGGCAAAGTCTTGGGATTGGACCACCTGGAAGCATAAATAGCCAATGAAAATCAGTTATACAAATGCAAACACAGTGCACTGGCATGCTCCCACCTTATACTGGAGCCAATATAATTACTGCTGGCTGTGACAAGAATAAAATAAGGTTCTGGAAGTAGTCAAGGAGCGATGAAAATGAATCAAGAGAAACTAAACTTATCAACATGAAAGAAGGATGAGAACTATATTAATCGCAAACACACACACAGAAGTTGAAGGAAATTCAACCACTCCTATTCTCAAATGTTTACTTACCATTAAAAATCTAAGAGATCCATTAAAATTTACATATAAAAATGTGATGTCAGGGGGTTGAGTATTCCAAGAATATCAACAAGACAAATTAAAAAATGGAGAAACAGATGAAACAAAACACTGATAACCAACGACCATGATGACATGGAAAGTCATATTCTCATGCACACATCATTTAAAGACTAACTGATTTGAAAGAGTGGCAGAGAGAAGAGGCAAAAATGAAAGGGATCCCCTATCTGCTAGCTCACTCCCCAACTGGCCATAACGAATGGGGGCTACACCAGGCCAAAGCAATGATCCAGTTATTCCATCCAGGTCTCCCACACGGGTGACAGTTCCACTGCCTTCCCAGGCACATTTGCACCAAATTGGATTGAATCAGAGCAGCTAGAACTCCAACTGGTGCTGGCTTAATCGTACGCACCATAACACAAACCCCTATTCATAGTACTTTTAAATATGCTTGAAAATTCTCTTAATGCAAAGCCACATAAACATGAACTAATCTGTATTTGGAAGGGATGGTGGGGAGACTATTGTTTTTGGTTTTTGAGAGAGAGAGATTTAAAGCTGTCTGAGTGTGCAAGAAGTAGATGCTCCATTTCAGAGACAAGTTGCCATCTACCGGAAGGTACACAAATTAAAAAGCAATCTTGATATAATATCCCGGAATTGGGATTTCTAAGGCAGACTGCCTCATCCCCTTTTGGGGCTGTTTCAAGTACAGAAGGCCCTTTCAGGAAATGCTATTGTCTTAAGATCCCTGGATTGAGCAAGACCATAACACATGACCGAAGATCTGTGGCTGGGCTTCTGTTATACCACGAAACACAATCACATGAGCCTATCATGAAAAAGCATAATATTTAAATGAGGTTTTCACCAACTGAATTAGATTGTTGAAGTCTGAAAAGTTTCAGACGAGTTAGAGCATAATGTAATGTGATATGTATAAGATCCTCATATCTGGCTCTTTTACACTTAGCATATAGTTGCTTTTTTTTTTTCCGGCTGTCAAAGCTGAACAAGCATTATTCATTCAAATGATTTAGAAGAAATTCTGCAGCAGCTACAGCTCCGAAAGAAGTCACTCTGCTAAGACAGTGTGTGTGCATTTCTGGGAAGCTTAAACCAGAACACTGCCAAACACTGCATCTGAAGAGAAGACATTCATGTCTTCAATGATAAAAACAACTTAAGGTTTTAAGGAAATTTTAGATGGATCCAGAGTGACCTGCAACATATTCATCAAGAAGATAAAAACAAAGTAATGTAACAATGAGTCAACAACTTACTGAAAGTTTGGCAATTTGCAGATTTCATTCTCAGCTCTCAAAACCGAAGCCAGTATTCTGGGCAAAGAATATATATCAAGGGTCCGGTGTAGTGGTCTAGCGGCTAAAGTCCTCGCCAGGATCCCATATGGGTGCCGGTTCTAATACTGGCAGCCATGCTTCCCATCCAGCTCCCTGCTTGTAGCCTGGGAAAGCAGTCGAGGACGGCCCAAAGCCTTGGGACCCTGCACCTCTGTGGGAGACCCAGAAGAGTTGCTGGCTTTGGGTCAGCAGAGCACTGGCTATTGCAGTCATTTGGGGAGTGGATCATTGGATGGAAGATCTTCTGGTCCATCTCTCCTACTTTTTGTATATCTGACTTTGCAACAAAAATAAAATAAACCTTTAAAAAAAATATATATATGTGTATATATCTAACTACATACCTGTGAGTGCAATTTTTAACAGTTGTAAAGACCACTATTAATAAAAAGTGGTTTCTTCTTTTACGATTTCCTTGCATTACAAAATAAAGTAGGTTTCCTTTAATCCAAGGTCTCCATTTTACATAGAATGGTAAAGAAGAAATGTAAAGATAATTGCATAAAGAAACCAAGTGTGCTTTGGATAAGGGAAGGCAGAAGCATATTGTCACTGCATGCAAGGACAATGAAGGCCATCCACTTTATACGAAGGCTTTGCTCAACAGAACCTCCTATATTTCAATGGATGATCTTTTAAATGATTTGTTTGTTTGTAAGGCAGAATTACAGAGAGAAAGAGAAACAGGCATCTTCCACCTACCAAGTCACTTCTTCAAATGTACACAACGCTGGGCCTGGGCCAGGCCAAGGCCGAGAATCTACAAATCTAGCTAGATCTTCCACATGACTGGCAGAGGCCCAAATACTAAGGTCTTGGAGCCGAATTGAAAGTGGAACAGCTGAGACTAGAAACAGTACCAATACGGTATGCCAGCATTACAGGCTGCAGCTTAACCTACAGTGCTGCAACACTAGCCTCCTAATGTGTGAGCTGAAGAATCACACAGTATAACAACCAACAGAATCCTGTGATTTCTTCCTCTGTGACTTGTGCAACATAATTTAAGAAACATTTTTGAACTGAGAGAGCTTCCATTTGTTGTTTTGCTCCCCAGACACAAGCAACACAACCAACCTGAATTGGGACTAGGACCAAGACAAGGAGTCAGAACTCAGTCCAGGTCTCCCATGTGAGTGGCAAGGATCCAATCACTTGAGCCAGTATCACCACCACCTCCCAGAAAGCCAGGACAGAAGCTGGGGCCTGGCATTGAACTCAGGTCCTCTGAAGCAGGCTGCAGATAGCTTAACTGGTAGATTAAACCTCATCTACTACATAATTTTTCAGCTGCAAAAATTAAAACTTTTGCTAACAAAAAAATATGCTGAACTCTACTCTTCTGGAGCTTGGGAAGTAGAAGAAGGGAGCACAATAACCAGTGAAGATTAATTTACTAAAACCAAGCGCTCACAAGCTACAGGAGATTAGGGTACGTGTTGTTCAGTCAGGAGTGACGCACCAGTGCCCGTCACAGCCCTGCTGGTGGCAGACGCTTCCTGTGGTTAAAATCAGTACATAGGACACTTACTGAAATTTATCAGAAAAAAAAAAAAACTTTCTCTTTGGAAAAAATACCACATACAAAGATCTCAAAAAATTCATGGAAATTTGAAACAAAAGATAATTTATTTTGGTGAAAAAAAAACACTTGAAATCTAAGCATGCAAAGGGTCTTCTGAAATTCTATGGAAGATGTGTATTATAAAAAAAAACAAAAAACTGTGTAAGAGTGAATGCGCCCAGCCCAACAACTAAATGGAATCATCTAAGAGATCAATAGAATGACAGGTGCCACAGCCTAAGTGCTCCAGGCCCCAGCACTTCCTGACCTGTCATGTCCATTTTCTCTTCCTCACCCTTTCCTACATTGATTTAGAGATATTTCTTATAGTTTGACCTCTGTCATTCAGATCCCTCGGGGTAAAAGGAACTAATTGTCTCAAGACATTCTCCCACAGCTACTAAACCAACAGTGAGTAACTTGGTTCTCTTCTGAAGAATCAGACCTGTTAAAAGCAGATTAGTAGAAGGAAAATGAAGAATCACAGGAAAAGAAAAAGAATGGAGTAGGAAACAAAGCCACTTGATGTTAATATCTCCATGTAAATCTGAGACTCACTAAGGATGTAAGAATGTGGATGCCAAGGACAATGCAGTGGCCTTCCTGAAACGCTCAAAAGCAACCATCGCCATTACCGTCCTGCAAACCACAAGTGCTCATATTGCATCTTACCGTCACAAACACCAGCCTGATTTATCTATTCTATGCCAAGCTGCCCCTTTGTCTTGCTCATTCATCATGATGTACTAATCCATACTTCATTTGTTTCCAGATACCGGATATGTCTTCAGCAGTTTAAACACTGAAATTATTTTGTTGGATACTCTGTTTTTACTTCGGTGTCTTCAATGGCCTTACGGGCCAGCTTAATTCGCTTCTATCCCTAGCAAACCCTTGACAGTCAGCCCTTCGGGTCGACAAAGATGATGTATCAAAATTGAAAAATGAGAGCTATTTTAAGATAGAATAAGAGATATTTTAAGATGCAATGATTATAGAAAGAGCAAGAGAAGTATAAAAAGCAGCAGCCAGTGAGGAAAGTCTGACTCTTTTCACCTCTAATTTTCATGGCAGGGGTTCATTTTTCCCTCAGGATCTTTGTGGATTAGGTGTGGGTTAGGTGCAGGGTGACTGGCTTCTGTGGGGCAGCTGCAGCTCTTGCTGGACTCACCAAGCAATCTAAAACTAAGAAGTCAAGGAAGGGCTGAGTTTCTCCAAGGACCCCGACCCTCAGAAGGATCTATCGAACTGGATTCAGGTTA